CCCGTGCCTCCCTTTGCCCCCACACCCTGCCTGGGTCACGCCTTCGGCTGGCAGGGCTCCCTCGGGGTGCAGTTGTAGTTGTGATCCACCTTTCTGAGGGCTGGTGACCCCACCTTTGTGGAGGCTCACCCTGGCCAGGTGCCCCCAAAGCTACTGCATCACTCCCTCTTCAACTGAGCAGGGAGGGAAAATGCAAGGAAAAGACTGAGCTAAGGACCAGCACATCACCAGATGCAGGCATGGGTAAAATAGACTAAATTTGGGGAAATGAATGGAATTTCATAAAATAATGGAATAATGGAATGGTCTGGGCTGGAAGGGACCTTAAAGCCCATCTTGTTCCAAGTTCCTGCCATGGCAGGGACAACTTCCACTATCTCAGGTTGTTCCAAGCCCTGTCCAACCTGGCCTTGGACACTTCCAGGAATCCAGGGGCAGCCCCAGCTTCTCTGGGCATCTGTGTCAGGGCCTTACCCCCTCACAGCCAAGAATTTCTTCCTAATATCTGATCTAAATCTCCCCTTTTATATATTTATCACCAATCAAATCAGAGCAGGGTAATGAGAGAAAACCCCAAACCTTAACCTCTTTTCCCATTTCTCCCTTTCTCCTGGGCTCAAAAAGTCATTCCTGATTTCTCCCCTTTCTCCCCTCTGCAATGGTGGCTGTGTCAGCTCACCAGACCCCTCTGCAGACACTGCCTGCCTGGGGAGCTGGAGGCGACAGTGGGCAGGCAGGCAGGACCTGCCTCCCTGGGTGCCGGGGGAACAGCGGCACTGGGAGGGGCTGCAAGAGCCAGGAGGGTCCCAGAATCTGAGGATCACGCTGGGAGAGAGGTCTCAGGACTAGGGTGGAAGGGGACATGCTGGGTCCAGGCTGTGCAGGGGTCCCAAGCCAAGCTGGCCGCAGTGTTAGGGTCTGGGGGCCATTCTGGGTGTGGGGTCCCAGCACCATCCGGGGTAGGGAGTCCTGGACCAGGCTGGGCTGGGAGCGGATCCCGGATTCGAGCTGGGGTGCTCTCAGAGCACTGGGGCCGCCATGAGGGCACTGTGGGCGGGGAATCCCCCGGAGGAT